GACCTGCGCCCGTCAGCTGGGAGGTCTGGAGACGGAGCAGGCTGGCGTGGAGGGCGATGGGGAAGCGGTGGCTCGGCGGGCGGGGTCCTGCCTGCGCGCGAATGTCAGGCCCACCCGCCCCATCTGTAAAAGAAAAAGTCTTCCGCCCAAGCATAACACAGAGGCTTGAGACACGGAGGCGCGGGACGCGGAGCGGCGCAGTGGGAGGCGGCAGGACGGGGGGAGGGGTTACCTGCATCCTGCCAGCCGAACTCTGGAAGCCTGCCTGAATACCCGTATTTTCCGGCGTATAAGACGACTGGGCGTATAAGACGACCCCCGACTTTTGAGAAGATTTTCAGGGTTTAGAAAGTCGTCTTATACGCCGGAAAATACGGTACATCTCCACAAATCAGAAGGCAGGTTCCTTAAAGAACTTCCTTCCTCTGCTCTGGACAATCTCCTTCAATCACTGAAACTGACTTTACCTTTTACATTACCGGGGACATGCTAAAATACTCTTAGACAAAAAAACACTTTCTGTTCTGGCCAATATGCTTCTGGAGTTGCACTAATCAGCCCCAGAATGTGCAGATCAGGGCATTTGGGTAGACAAAATGTTTCAGGAGAAAAGCAATATGTTTCATTGCTGAATGCCTCATTTTCGCCATTCCTATTTGTACTTGCAATCAACAAACTGAAACTAGTAGAATAGAAACAACAAAAAGTTACATTAAAATAAAGAGATGCATAACTAACTAGCCTAAATATATCTGGTAGATAAGATGCTAGCTTCATCTCCAGTTCTATCATCTGCTTGACTGGGAAGATACTACATGGAGCATTCAAGTATTAGTCTCTTGGCCTTTGGAATGATGGAAGTCACACAAAAAGCATGCCCTACAGGGTGGGCTTGGTAATCCTCAAACACTTTCTGCGCAGTTGTATAATCAAGGACAGGCACATGTTGTAGTGCCAAATTAAAGTAGAAAGATTGGTCCAAGCAACTGCATCATAGGTGTATATCAGAGATAACTCTGCTTCCAAGGTTATCAGTACTGTTCCTTTCAAAATTGAACAGACCATGATTCTTTGGAAAATCTATTTGCCTTTTGTTGAGTATATTGTAGTTGCATTTCCTAACTGAATGGTTAAGAGTGAAGAAGATCCTCTTTCCTTCATTCCCCACTTTACAGGATATACAGGGATCTCTGACAAAATTCTAACTGAGTTTCAGTAAAATCTAAGTGTGTTGAATATGTCCAGCTGCGCCTAGTATACTTCCTGCATGCGATGAGTATGGATAAAAAAGTATGGTCAAATGTTTTGTTGTGATCACTGAAAAGTTTATTTTTATTTTTTTACAGATAAAGCAGCAATCCATTTGTAAGACATCCTGCCTTAGTGGAAAATGCACAAGTCCTCCCTTAATGGCACTTAATAAAGAAGCATTAATAAATAATTCTCCAGATCAAAAGTGTAACTGGACCCTGTCTGTTAGTGCCTGGAGAATCAATTTTAAATGGAAAGTGCCACATAGAAAGAATGGGTCCTCTGGAATACTCTTAAGAGATGAGTACTATCACTAAGGTAGCTAAGATGGCTGAAAAGGTGGGGTATTCTCTAACGTCCTGGAGAAGCAATGTGATTGCCTGTCTTCATAATGTTAACAAGCAGCCACTTGTATGACTTAGATTAAAGGAAACCTTAAACCTGCCTTTACATATGCCTTTGTAATGCATCTAGAAGTCCTGCTGGTTTGTCTAGATTTCTTTTTCATTTTCTTTCTTTTCTTTTTTGTGGAAGCTGCATACCTAAAGAATAAACAGCTAGTATAAACAGATCTCCAGTCTTGAGCTGTTCCTCTTCAATTTCCATATGTAGAGTGAATAAGTAGTCAAGGCCTGGTGTAAAAGTGGCCTCTAGGATAGGAGACCATGGGCACCCAGTGTTCAATCCTACTAGATTAAAAAAAACCATAGACTCTAAGGACAGCATATGTAAGGTTAATTTTCCAATCTTATTATTCTTAGGAATTATATAGAGAAGACACTTAAGACACAGTTTTCTGAGGGCATGCTCTGTGTGGTAATGGTCTCTAAAAGATATTTATTTGTTTGAAGCACTCTGAAATGCTTTACCTTGTACTTAAGTTATGAGGATGGGTAGTTGCTTCTTGATTTTATTTTTCATGAAATTCCAAATCACACCCCACATGGACTGTTTCTAACACTCGCGTGCCTAGTGGAGCTGAATTCCCACATGCACCATTTTTTTTGCCATTTGGTTTTATTAAAGATCATTTAACCTGAGAGACTATGCCTCAATGATTGGTGGGAGAAGGGCCACTGAGATATCAATTGCACTTTTCCTGAAAGCAGAAAGAAGTCAAATTTCAACTATAAGATGGATG